GTGTGTGCGCGCGCCTCGTCCACCTGCCGCTCTGTGTACGTGTATGAGTGTGTGCGCGCAGCTGTGCGCGAGCGAGGCTTTTGGTGCGTGTGTGATGGGGGCGTGACTGTTAGGACAAAAAAAAGCATGTTTTGAAACTTTGTTCGTCCACCTAATAACAATTTAGTCTCGTCTCGTTCTCGTCTGATGAAAATGAATACAATTTTCGTCACAATTTAGTCTTTACAGAGCTTTGGTGACGTTTGTCGTAGTCTCATTTTTGTCAAGGAAAAAAGGGGTCTGACGTCGTCATTTAAGTTTTCGTCCTGCCTGACGAAAACAACACTGCTGGAAGATAAAGCGTCACCCCAGTTGAAGGTCTCGAGTGCTCTGGAGCAGGTTTTCATCAAGGATTTCGATGTACTTAGCTGCATTCATTTTTCCCTCGATCCTGACAAGTCTCCCAGTTCCTGCCGCTAAAAAACATCCCCACAGCATGATGCTGCCACCGCCATGCTTCACTGTAGGGATGGTATTGGCGAGGTAGTGAGTGGTGTCTGGTTTCCTCCAGACATGACGCTTGGCATTCAGGCAAAAGAGTTCGATCTTCATTTAATCAGACAAGAGAATTTTGTTTCTCCTGGTCTGTGAGTCCTTCAGGTGCCTTCTAGCAAAGTCCAAGCGGGCTGTCATGTGCTTTTTACTGAGGAGTGGCTTCTGTCTGGCCACTCTACCATAAATGCCTGACTGGTGGAGTGCTGCAGAGATGGTGGTCCTTCTGTAGGGTTCTCCCATCTCCTCAGAGGAACACTGGAGCTCTGTCAGAGTGACCATCGGGTTCTTGGTCACCTCCCTGACCAAGGCCCTTCTCCCCCGCTTGCTCATTTTGGCTGGGCGGCCAGCTCTAGGAAGAGTCCTGGTGGTTTCAAACGTCTTCCATTTCTTAATGATAGAGACCACTGTGCTTTTTGGGATCTTCAATGCAGCAGATATTTTTCTGTAACCTTCCCCAGATCTGTGCGCCGATACAACCCTGTTTCGGAGGTCTACAGACAATTCTTTCGACTTCATGGCTTGGTTTGTGCTCTGATGTGCTCTGTCAGCTGTGGGATCTTATATAGACAGGTGTGGCTTTCCAAATCATGTCCAATCAGCTGAATTTGCCACAGGTGGACTGCAATCAAGTTGGAGGAACATTTCAAGGCTGATCAGTGGAAACAGGATGCACCTGAGCTCAGTTTTGAGTTTTATAGCAAAGGGTGTGAATACTTACTACTACATACAAACTACTTTTAATAAATTTGCAAAAGGTTCTAAAAAAATGTTTTTTGCTTTGTCATTATGGGGTATTTTGTGTAGAATTTTTGAGGGAAAAATGAATTAAATCCATTTTGGAATAAGGCTGTAACATAACAAAATGTGGAAATGCGTAGAGTCCCGCTCGGATGGGAGCCAACAGGATTGGCAGAGCAGGCAGAGGTGAGCAGAAAACCACAATCTGGATATAGGTTTCCATTCTTCGGTGGCAAAGAGAGGCTTTGCTAGCTGGACAGTGGCTGGTCTCTCAGGTAGCGGGACATGGAGGACAAAGGACAAACTGGATACAATTTGAGAGCAGTTGAAGACACATTTTTTGGCAGAGAAGACAGTTCACTTGGCCAAACATCAGCGACCACTGATTATTAAAACCCCCCAAAAACAACAGATGGTGCTGTGACTGTAAATAGCTTAAATCACAGGAGAAGATTCCTGATAGTCACTATAAGAGAATGAGATGCCTTTCCATTTATACACAGAAGTGACCATACCGCAGTTTGGATCTGCAACCTTCATCTAAACTTACCCTATCATAGAGTTTCTCAACTGATTTGGCGAGGTTAAGAAGGTTAGATATAAAGGACCGCCTCTGAGGCATGATGCACATGACAAATTAATATGCCCAAGGAAAGAGAGTTCTCTTTTTGGTAGATGTACTGCCTCTCGAGCTTGTCCCGTTACTTATCTACTTAGATGCTTTTTTCTCAAGTATTTACACGTAGTTATGCCTAAAGGATTAATGATGGTAATTGAAAGGGTGACTTAGAGAAGAGGTTAAGACAGGATTCATGATTGGCCTCTATGCTATCAACTATTTCAGGATCTTTGTAAATTTGATTGTAAATTTATTTTTTACACACAAATGACACTTTTGGCAGCCAGACCAAACCTGCTAGGAACCCCTGAACCAGTCCTGTTATCAAATAATTCACAAACAGCGGTTTGGATGCTTTGTCAGTGCCTTCCCAAGCTCAGGGACATTTGACAGAGTAGACAGCTTTATTTTCCGTTTTTACAAGGCGGGTGCATCTTGGGCATGCTGATTTTAGATGCCTGTCCCTGCAGTAACTTGGCCTTGCCAAGTTGTAGGCGTAGAAGAAGCTTAGTGGTTGGCCTGTAGCCACAGTTTTAGGGCACAGATTGGAGGTGTGAGCAGGGATTAATATAGGATGAGGTTCTTGCATGTACTGTACCCATAGGCTTTGAATAAGAGGAGCATACCTAAGTTTATCGAGGTGCTGACTCTGATGCCACAGTATTATCATCTGCTGCATCTCCCGCTCTCTTGAACATAAAATCTATGTATTTATTTATCATTTTGTCTTATTTGTGAATTAAGATTAAAGCAGCTGTCTCTTTAAAAGTTCCCTCCTTCCGCAAAAGGCGGGAGGCGGGCCCCAGTGCCTGGGCAACCAGCGTCCAATCAAAAGTGCGCATTGAGCTCCCATTGCTGGAGTTTGTATGAGGAAGCAAATACGACTCACTCTCAAGCAGCCTGGTCCTATTGGATTTCTATGGTTACAATGCTGAGAGCAGACTGACGTGCAGACACTAAGCAAATGTAGCCTACATACACTGCAAGGGTGAATGTTGGTGTACCGCTGCGTACCGGCTGTAAACTGCTGTTTATGTCTTCCTGCTGTGTACTGCTGCATACTGGCTTACTTTCATCCCTGGGTGTGAGAGAAAGACCCGCAGATTGAGCAGGAAAAAACTTGATGCCCAGTGAAATGTGTGGCGTGTGGTGTATTTTGTGGACACAGAAGCAGTCTCAAAGACAGGTAGCCAGTTAAAAGATGTAATTTTAATGTCCAAACTCAGGGAGAAAAAGGTACGAGAGAAAGTCCAGTTGGCTGGCTGGCTGTTGTGTGGACTGGAGACACTGTGGAAAAGCAGAAGAGAAGGAGGTTAAAGACATACGGGGAATCACAGGGAGCAAAAGTCACGAGCACTCAGCCAAAGAGAAGGCCAGGAGAAGTGTCTTAGTCGGGTCATGAAGTGAGATTCTGTGACCATCCTTTGGCAAGGATGTTTTGACGATTGATTTGACCTCTACGGACCCTTTAGAAAAGATTTAGCCCCCAGGTCCCTCGCAAAAATCCCGGCATTTTTTGCTAGACAGCCAAATTCAAAATGGCACCTGGCTCAATGCCTAAAAATCAACTTTTAATCTGGATGACCCAGAATTATGTATGAAGGCACTTTTTTATACAAGTCAACCATGAGGATTCCAAATCTGACACAATTTTAATTGTAAGACCTCATTTTGACACCAAAATTCAAGATGGCCGACATCCAGTAGAGTAAAAACCTAGCTTTAGTTTATAAATTTTCAGTCAGTCCGGCTATTTCTGATTGGTTAAGTAACAAGAAGATGTTCTCTAGGTTGTGCCACTGCCAGATAGCCAGATAGCTGGGGGTCTGCCCCCTTAGGGACTGCTGGCCTGCCCTGAACCATTCTTCATCAGGCCCCTCGCCAGAGACCAGTTTGTCATGGGAGACCCAACTGACCCAAAAGGCAACTGTTTTCTCGTTGCCTTTATTAACTTTGGCAGGCGCCATTTTTATTGATCGGTGATAAGTCTTGTTGTACACTTCAACAAGGTCCTGGACTATGTCGATGTATCGTCGTGAGTTGATCAATGTCAGGTATCTCCACATAGGTGTCTTAAATGCTCTATTACAACGTTCAACTACATTGGCTTTGGTCTCGTTTGATGTGGAAAAATGGGTGATATTATAAAACTCGATACCAGCATCCGTTTGGACTCTTAGAATATCTTTAAACGCACTTGTGACAGCGGGTACTGATTTGTTTCTTAGAAGCCTCACCCCTGCATGTACCGAACACTGTCGTTTTCTGATGAGAATTCGCCCATATCAACTAAATCAAGCTGGAACCGTTTGTTGATTCCGCTAACAAGAACCCTATTTCTCAGAAAATTTCTTGCAGCGTGTTCATGAAGAGTGTAAACATCCTGGCAAAAACCTCTTGACGGTTGATAATGGCGGTGTAACGCCTGCTTGTTCCCCGACTGCTTTGTGCAGTTTATACATGCTTGATAGACCTGCAGGTTGGGCAGGATCATAATAAATTTTATGCATGGTGTTTTCCATGGTCTGGTTGAGACATAAATGAGTAGACAGGATAGATTACAATGTCATTTATTTATTTAACTCCAGATAGCAGATCATGACAAAAAAATCACCAACAAAATTAAAGGAAAAAGGGGTACATCTGCACACAGCGACAACATCAATAATTTCATTTTCCTTTCCAAAATTCACCAGCCTCTCCAAGGATGACTACTTTTAAGAAATTATTGGCTGCTGTAGCATCACACATTTCATTTATCTTATCTATAACATTATCAACTGTTTTAAGTTTATTGAGAAAAACCTCTGTCACATCATGAACAATGCCTTCATCAATCTGCATGCAAAAGTGTCAGATAATGCTGTATGGCCTTGATAAAACGGTTGTTCCATAGTTTTTTCATCAATAAATCAAAGTGAATATCATCCATGATGATTCCGGGATTGCTGTCAGACGCTCATGATGTTTTTGACTGGGGTGGTTAATCTGACATCCATAGCAGATCTCTTGCCAGTATTGATACAATACGTTGTTGACCAGATGGGCAACAACTTCCTTAATGAAGTCTACGTATAATGGAGGTGCCCTGCCGCATGCCTCGTGATCTTCATATCCCTCGGTGAGGTGGTACGATGGTGACTAGGGTGATTCTGGTCTCTGAGATGGTGGTGGTGACTAGGGTTATGCAGGGGGTGTCTGGATCAGCAGTGGTGGCAGGCTCGGAGTTGAAGGGGGTGACCAGGGTACCCAGGGTGATGACAGAGGGGTCCCAGAGGCCGGTGGAGGTGTGGATACTGTGGAGGTGTGGAGGTGTCATTTCCTAGTGAATAGAAAAAAGGTATTGTTAATTTTTTGACTCGTCAGAGAGATCCAACATAAACACAAAAATATACAACCCACCTATTTATGCATAGTAGTCTATGTGCTTGACGATTTTCGGCCTACAAAGGGCAGGCCAGATGTCGCTAAGAGAAGTAGACGATGAATGGCCAAAATCAAGACATTTTCTATCATGTTCAAAAGAGACTGCCACTCTATCTCTCTTAATGGCTTCGTCAACTTTGTTAAACACTCCCTGCAGATACGTCCAGTCACACCACTGGATAAAGAAAGTTGCCCTGAAATATGTCTTGTACTCCTCTCACCGCGATCATTGGCCTCATTGGATCCTCACAGACGCTCAGAAAAAAAAAAATCTTCCAAAAGTTTGAGGAAACGGTCGGCCTCAATGCAATACATTTCAGGCCCTGTACCGCTGATCCATTGTGATATATAAAGCACCTCAGGAAAACCAGGCTGATCAAGGTCTTGGCAGGCTACCGAGCAAAACAGTTTCCAGTCTTCTACAGACAGACTTGTGTTTAGCCCCTGCTCTTCGCTCTCACTCTTTACACACAAGGTAACATGGCTATCGCTATATTTAAGTGTGTATACGTACCCATTGGCCCCTTCATATTCTATATTAAACTCAGGCGGTGATCCTTTAGTTAAACTCTGAGCCCCTCGCTTCTTATGGCAAGGTGTTGCAGACAAGTCTGTTGCACGTGCCGCATCAGGAGAAGATGTACCTTCACTAGCGACTTTGTCTGCAAAAAGTTCCATTTTGCCAATTGCTTCGGTCCTACAAAGCTCGCTGGGAAAAAATAAATGGTGAGTGAAAAACAATTGCACAACCACTCGCTTATATTCACACAGCTTCACACTCCCACAAGGGGGAGCCATAGCAGGATCTGACATCAGTGACCCTTCCCCAGGATGTGACATCAGTTACCCATCCCCCAACACACCCCCACCCCTCCCCTCAAAAAGTAGGGGTTATATACTACTATCTTATTTTACCTCACTGTGCCCTGTACTGGGTTAAATACTGAAGGAATGAAGTACATTCATTCAGGCCCTCTTCATAACTGTACTCCACTGACGGTTATTTACTGTGAACTTAAAGGTGGGGTAAGCAGGATTCTGTTAAAGAAGCCCCCTTTTTTTGGTGTATATACAAAAAGTGCTTTTAATATAGCAATTAGTTATTGATGACATTCGGTAATATAACGATATCACTGTGTTTTGTTCTGTCTGTGTCGTCAACATTTTAAATCTTTTGAGCAGCCCCCTCTTTCTGACTGTAAACAAAGCCATTCTCCACCTCCCTTAACCTGGTTAGTTGCGAGGCGGACGCTGCTCCCCGTGTTGTTCACGAGCCTAAAAAAAGTTAACGTGCTGCAAAATTGGACAGTAGAAACCAACCAGAAAGTACGGAAAATTGTCTGAATCTTCCTTTGGCCACCACTGCTAACACAAGCAAGAAAACAAAGTAAATACTGGAGACTCTGGCAGAATAACAGGCGCTTAAAAAGGAGGTAGACCGCCGGACAAGAGCTAAAATGTTGAGTCAACATCAATAAAGCTAGCATAGCTAGCATAGGGATGCTTCTGGATCTTATGGACCCTGTAACCTTTCTGCTGGACAGGTAAACTGCTTTAACAAAGTAAGCCAAGTGTCTGTAACAGAAATGTTGCTTGTCAAACGGGACGTGCTGCATGTTGTAGCGCTGCTTAACTGTTTACCTTGTAGAAGTCCTGCAAATGCTGTGTTTGCTGGTAGTCTGTTGGCATCTACAGGAGCACCAAAGCTTTTTACTTTCACGTTGACTGGACCCCATTTGTAATTATCAGAATCAGAATCAGAATCCCCTTTATTGTCATTGTACACAGTACAATGAAATTTGAGCGCCACCCCATTTGGTGCAGAGCAATTGTATCTCAAGTATTTATCTGCATTATATATGAATGTAATTGGAAGGTACAAGCGCACAGGAGCATCTGTTTGTGGGCAGGGCTTACTGGAGCAGAGAGGGAGGGGAGAGGAGGAGCTGAGGGGAAAACTGGTTGGGGTAGTATTTACATTCAAGAGTTCTCCCAAAAACTGGCACTCCCTCAGATCCTGCCCACCCCACCTTTAACTCTGAGGTCTGTTTTATCCTTGATTTTGCTAATAAACAGTAATGCTCTGTCTCTTTTTTCTACATGCACAATTAAATTAATGAAATAAAAAGAAAATAAATACAGGAAAAAATGGAAGAAGCTGAGGGCACTAACCTGGACATGTCATGAACATGATCGGAGACCAAGGAGCACAAGCAGTGTGTGAGCTCTGTTCCTCTCTAAAGGTTGTTACTGCTGATAGTGGACATGTTGATCCATCTGCAGCACCTGTAGGAAAAAGAAACAGTCAGGACACATTTATATCTCTAAGTGCCAGCTCACCAGAGTTGAAGTTCATGATCTTCTCATCCACAACATTAACATCTGCAACCATTTAGCCTTGTTATGCTATCAGGCTCTGTGTGGGTGTGCGCAGAAAGACACGTTTACTATTTGTCCATGTAAAGCAGCCAGTGTGAGGATGCACTCATGGGTGGTTGACTAATAGATGCTGGTGCTCTGCCAGTGCTGCACACCCTTGTTCATGAATTATAAAACCAAGAGCAATTATGGCTTTTGCACAAATTAAGCAAAGCATGCTGGATGCAAACTGTAATTGGGTCAGTGGTTATTTCCAGCAACACACCTGGGCTTGCAATAAACGCTGGGTATCAATTATGAATGGCTCTTGTCCTATGCAGGGTGTGTAGCAGACCATGGCCTAACACCACATAGAAGAGTGCATTAGCATAGACATGATGACAGTAATAATCTCCACGATGGTGCTTTAGTGTCTCTTAGTCATAATGTTTCAATGTTTCTCTGCATGGAGCTCAGGTACAAAGGGGAGCAAATATATCTGATGTCTAGCACTAACTGTGAATCACATTTTCAGTGCACAGCGGGATCTTTATGAGTTCATAATAAATCAGTTTCCTCTGTTTCCTAAAGGCACGTGAACATGTTTCAATGTTTTAACCTTGAGAATTTTATGAAGATTGCTTTTGCATAAGGAGGAACCGGTCTACACAAAAAACTAACAATGCACTGACTGCTTTACAGCATATGTCACTTGCCCCTTTCCCCATTCGTTAAAAGGATGGAAGTCAATAAGAACGGCTCTTGGATTACCGTTATCATGGCTGCTAATTTATTCTCTCTCTCCTTATTGTTGTTTCTTGCTGCGCTCCGATATCGCTGGGTTTCCTGCAGGTTAACTTGCTGCGCCCAGCGTCCTATAGATTGCCGGTATGGTCCCGTGCTTTAGCAATCAGCATCGTCTTAGCTACTTGGCTTTGAGCTGCAGTGCTACAGGCTTGTATCTCAGCCAATTGGTGGAGCTTTCCTGCATCACCCCTCGCCCCTTGCCTGAGAGTCTTACATTGGCATAATGAACAGAATACAATCAAACTTATATTTGGTTCATTCCATCGCTGTATAGATGGGCATGTACAAACATTGGGCTTGGGCTATGGTTGGCCAGACTGAAATTTTTGTGGTTCAATCAGAGGAAAATATTTGATGTGTGAGCCGATTTCGCTGCTGAAAATGACAAAAATTGATTACTTTTTTTCTTTTTCTTTTCCTGTAGAAATTTTACCAGCTGCCTTTTTGAAAGTGGAGGGGTTGTAGTGAGGTAAGACTGGTCTCATTTGAAAGAAGAGGATGTCCTGATGTGTTTTGATATATAATAGTGGGGTTGAGTTATGTGACGGCTCCTTCAGCTTCCTTTTTTCTGCCGGAGTCGCTACTGCCCTATTAGGATCATGTCATGATCCTTTTAACTAAGGATTTAGTCGATTTTACTATAGATGGCCACCATTATCAAGAGATGATTCAAGCCAAAAACTCATTTTCCTCAAAAAAATGACTAAGGCCATTATTTTAAGTGTGAATATGAAGAAAATTGAAATACGCGCGTTTTTTGCTATTTCCAATTTGAGTTTTTGTTCCTTTATAATTTTTTTGTGGTTCAATTTGGGAAAAAATCGTATGAACAAAAAGATAGAACATACATAGGTGCCATACTTCCAGAGATATGAACACTTTTGCAACGCATGTCATGCTAGTTAGCCAAAAATTCCTTAGCCCCTATCTCACTAATTAGATGGCTTTGAACAAAAATATTTGAGCTCTGACAGTTTCTCCTGAAGGCCAATCACTCCACCAAATTTCATCAAAATCTGTGACGTGAGTAGAGATTCTTGGTTGAATTGACATGGAATGACCCTTATACTCTAATCTTACAGAAAGATTCCCATTGCATTTATTAAATTTGATGCAGATGTGAAGCCCTCTCTGTTTCTCTGGTTTCTTAAACTACTATAAATAGTTAAAATGTATTTTAGAAAGTACTAGATAGGCTTTAAAATTTTAGTTGCCTCAGAAGTCAGATGTTGGAGCTGAAAATGACATCAGTGTGACACTTTTTCTGGCAACACCCACAACCATAATTTCACAGCCCTTCTCATTGGTGTTTACTGTTGCTAGGTTGCCCACCAACATTTCCGCTTTCCTAAGCAGTAAAGATTGAGTTTGTTATTTAATGCTGTGAGTGCCCCATACTTGCTTTTTTTTTCACCTCACTCGACATCAATTCAAGTCTAGTGTTTGTTCTTAAAAATGTCCATGTCTTGTTCTGTAAATATCTCACTAACAAAAGGGCTGATCTTTCTAGTGCCATTTTTTTTTTTTTTGCCATTCCACCAGGTACCCACATGGTAGTTGACCTCAGACTGTGGTTGCGTTGATATTTGTGAGGTAGGGACAGACCCACTGCCCATGCCATCCACCTCTACTGGCCACTTGTTGCCTTTTCAATTCATTTCAACAGTGCACCACCATTTTCTTTTAAATAGATTACAACCTTGTGCAAAGGAAAAGCATTTAAAAGTGGGCTGCTTTACTGTTTACAAAGCATGCTTTGCACAGCAAGCAGTTGTTTCTTCATTTGCCATCTTTTGGGTGTTAAACCAATAACTCTCTCTGCATTTTACACCGATGTATTAGTTGCACCACTATATACTGCAGGGGATCATACAGAGATCCATCTATCCAAAAGTCACACAAATCAAAATCTACAACCCCAACCTCAAGTTGGTACTCAGAGTGAAACGGGTGTTTTGCAAATCATTTAGTCTTTATTTGATCAAAAAAGTGCAGAACACAGACTTAAAAGATAAAAAAGAAACACTGACAAATCTGGATTCATGAAAATGCCCAGAATTTCTTATTTAGGGGTTATTCTCCTAAATGTTCTCATTGCATCCTCAATGAGCAGATCTACAATAGTCAGGTTTGCTAACTGAATAAAGTCCACATGCCCTGTCAGGGAGAAAGAAAGTAGACAGGCAGCAGTAGACAGTACAGCCAGGCGGCCTTTCACAGTTCATGTCCCTGCAGCAGCAGCAGCAAGATGTTGTTCCCCAAGCATCGACCAAATACACTCCAAACTTCAAAAAGCATGCTGCTCAGCTTGTTGTTCTTTTCTGGGCTGTTTACTTCACTAGTGTGTTCCTCAAAGAGTGCCAAGAAAGAGTGCTTCCAATTGTGAGTGCTTGTTAAAACATTAAACAGTGCCAAAGACACAGCCAACTTGTGTTGCGACATACAGCTTCTCAGCTGTGCCAGTTTACCATGTCACATGGCCCAAAAGCAGAGTACAGGCGATCAGGATGTAAATGCACAAAAATTGAATGGAAAGCCTGTGAGGAAGAATTACAGGAGCTGCCAATGTTTTAACACTTAAATATGAAATATTGAAGCTGTAATGATGCAAAGACCCCGAAAGTGGGCATCTCTGTTGAGCTATGAAAACCATACTGTACAAAGGCTGTACTATTTTTCATAAATTTAACATATATGGCAATTCACAGTAATTATTCCACCAGCCACAACAAGCTTTAATGATAATATTCATAATTGAGTGCATCATTTGAAAAAAGGAAGGTAATCATGATAGACAGTTTATCCCACTATGATTCAAATCTGTCAATATAGAGCTCTGACCATTGGCTTTATAGGATCTTCTCAGATTACACTCTTAGACAAAGTATAATAATGTAGACCAGTGTAACTGTTGTTGAATGTCTCTAACCTGAACTCGACCCTCAGTACATTCCCATCACTCAAACACTGATTTATGCATGGAGGAGTAACAGATTCTTTGATAGCTGCAGTACATGTCTTTTAATTGTACTTTTGTAAACACCTGTCTTGGAGAACTAGACAGCCCTCAGGCTGAGAAAGAAATAAAAATAAATAAATAAATATATATATATATATATATATATATATATATATATATATATAGATACACACACACACACACACACACACACACACACACACACACACATATATATATATATAGATAGATAGAGAGAGAGAGAGAGTCAAATACACACAACAATTGTTTACCTCACTAGTTAGAACCCTGAGGAGAGTTTTCACATTTAGATTTATAATTCACTCTCATTTTTCAAAGAGCTTTATTAGACCATTTAACTGTGGTCTTCTCTCTTATTTGCACCGTGTAACTAAAAGATGGATGCTTTAAAAACTATGAATACAAATAATTGTTTTAAGCATCTGAGAATCCTAGCTTATCAATGTCAGAGGCTCTTCAAAGTAATAAACCTGAGCGGTAACAAAGGAAGAGTCAAACCCAAGGCTGGTGTTTCTGTTTTTACACTTATTAAAAGAGGGTCAAGTGATAGAAAAACAGTTTCACTTCTGTTTGAAAGAACATAATGAGCAGGAAAACTGGATGTGCTGCTGAGCCACAATCTGCTGGAGGTTCCACACTGATGTTTCAGGACTGCCTTAACTTCTAAGATCACAGTCTACAACAACAGATCAAGACTTACTCTTGGAATTTGACAACTTAATGAAAAACACAAAAGGAAATTCTGTATTTTACATGTTTATACTAAAATAGGGATTATTTTTAAAGGCGTGTGGAAATTTATACTTTATAAAAGAAGTAGATGTCTTGTTCTCCTGAAGGTACACAAGCTCAATTCTGGAAGAGTCAGCACATGTTGATTAAAAAGATTTTGATGGCTTTTTGAGTAATTTAAACCCCAAATTTAATTGAGAAGAGTGCAAACAGCATATCTGATGTTGAAAAAGAACAAAGCACTAAAAAAAAATATCTAACACTTATAAAAATAACAGCTGGAGAAACATCTACTAACTTAATACTCACAATTACTGATGTAAAGCTGGGAAAGTAGATCACCAAGCAAAGATTTACAAAGACCTTCAAGATTTCATCACCTACAGAACATAATATCATTCAAAGGCAGAAAGACATGACTTCGCGGTGGAAATCAGCACATAGATAATGCCATTTTCTGTTAGGTGTTGTGCATAGGTGGACCCAGAGCAGAGGCTGAATCAGATCAGGATTTCGACAAACAGTGATTTTTATTTACATGTGAGTCAAAAGTGAACAAGGCAATGATGGTGGTGGTGGCGGGAGCTCGTGGAGACCTGGAGAAAACGAGAAAGAGAGAAGGAGTTAGTCCAGGGGTAAAACGGGCATGAATCCACCACAATCATCAAGAAGTGAAGCACAAGATAATCTCCGTGAGGGGAGAAGAGGCTTAAGGCCAGCACAAACGTAGTGACCGAACCACTTAGTCAGGCAATCAGCCGGCACTGAGAAGATTCCTCCCTGGGCTCTTGTAGGCAGGTAATCAGACCGGAATTAGCAGCAGGTGAGGTCTCCAGCAGGTGATCAGCTCCCGCGGTGCCACCCATGCAGGAAGTAAAGAGAGGGATCCTGAGCAGCCTACAGCGCCGCTCAGGCGAAGTGGATAAAGGGGGAAAGACAGCCCGAGAAGGGAGGGCAAAGAGGAGCAAAACTGGAGGACTGGGGACCAGTCCTCACATTTTCAGAGACAACCTGAATGATACAGTAAGTTAATGCCAAACTACATTCTGCATAAACAGTATGGTTGGACCAGTCCAGGTGCTTGACCTGTCTGCCATTTATCCTGACTCACCCACTTTCAACATTTGTAGCAGCTGTATCAGGAAGAATGGGACAATATTCCACTTTCAAAACTCCAGAAACAGGTGTCTTTGGTTTTCTAACATGAAAAGTGTAGTTGAAAGAAGAACCAATGCCACTAAAAGGTAAAAATGTCCCTGTGCCAGTGTTTCTGAAACAAGTTTCAGACATTTTATTTGAAATGAGAATGACCCTGATGAGGCCACAAGTCGAAATGTGTTGGTCTAATAAAATTGATTCCTCAACTACAAGTGTTGCTGGAGCTCTTTTGATCTTTTCAAGATCTTTTCTCTCTAAGCACCTTGGAAGTTGGTGAAATTGTGCCAGAACTTTTGACCTCTGACTTTTGATATGTTGTCATCAAGTACAGGCTTGCAAAGATCTATAAACTATTAAATTCTGTTTTCATCAACATTTTACACAGCATCCCAACACTAGTGAAATTGGTTTTATGCTTGTTTTGCAAAAATCTCAAATTACATGAGCTGACAAGAAGCTTCAACCAAAGTAAAGAGGCTGTGAACAATCAGCTGTAACTGGCAACTAAATGATCTTTGTATGCCTGTATTGGGTAATTTCAGATGTATCAGATCTATTAGCCAACAGCTGTTTTTGAATGAATAATACAAATTTCACCACAGTAATGGAGCTATGTAAAATGAGCCTTTAGTCTTCAGAAGGTTAGAAGCTATTTGACTTCAGATTGAGGAGATCTGAACTAGAACAGAGAAAACATTTCAGGTGCACTCCTTGGGGTTCACTGCTGTAAAGTCTGTGCAGCAGATTCAAAAGGCAGAAGCTTTTGCCTATTTAGAGAGAACAGTTCAAATTATGGCTGCAGCATGATTAAAATATTAACATCTAATTGACACATTAACATGTTGGTCTCCAACTTTTTTCTGTCATGCCCTTCTATGGAGGATTAAGAAGTTAAGTTTCATGTCCCTTCAAAAAAAAAAAACATATATATATATCTGACTGAGATACCAGTAAGGTTCGAACCTTGATTTACTCTCTTTCAGTCATTTCAACCATGCAAATAAAAATATATATCTACACTACAGGCCAAAAGTTTGGAAGCAAGATCAGATTTGTACAAAAAAAGATCATAGTTTCATGTATATAATTTGCAACACAATAAACATGACTATTGTGTAAAGAGTAACTTATTAGAAGACATTTTGACGATAATTATTAGGTATTTGAGTTATTGCTGCATACGTTCCTGTCATGGAAGTTTTTCTTCCCGTTGCTGCTAGTGAAGAATGAAATAGAGACTTCTGCCGGCCGACAAGGTTTTATTTTCTTTGCAAAGAAAAGGTCAATCTGCTTCTGAGTGGTCAGAATCAAGAAAGACCCAGAACATGGGGAAACCTGAACATTTAAGCTTGAGGACCGCCCCTCAGAGGGCAAGGAATGGGGCTTTGATGTTGTCATCTTTTGTTTTCTGTGGGGACCGTCACTCCACCCCCCTGGGGTGGTGGTGGGGATGTTTCACACCTGGAGTATCCTGCAGGATGTTGTATCTTGCTGGGAAATTAGGAAGTCTAGACATCATTATTAACTGATATGTTGGTAGGAAAGTCTGTTGTGGGGGGCACCTCTAGCAGTTCTAACAAAGATTTTTTTTCAATGCCATCACTCGTTCTTTCCCCGGTGCAACTGTCGCCGACATCACGACAAAACTCCCCGGTCTTCTCCAATGCTTAACACATAGCATTGATCGTTTTAGCCGCCTCCTCAGCCAGAAATCCTGGCTTTGATCACTCTGCAGTACCTCCTCCACCCACTTCATTGACAATTTTAATCTGTTCTGGAACCGATCCCCATTTTTCTCCCATGACGGACTTCACCCAAACAAACTGGGCTATTACACACTTACCGCTAATATCCAACACCACAAACACACCAACTGACTAGCATTGTTTACACTCTCCCTGTCATCCTCTTCTTCCTTGCCTGTCACTACCCCACCTGGAAACAGCGCCCTCCAGAGCCCCCCCTCTGAAACCCTCACCATCCCCACCACCGGCTCCCCCAACAGGCCCCAACTGGTACTGCACACCAATCCCATTGCCTCCACTACAGCAAGCCCCCCCCCCCCCAACCCAAACAGTTACTGCATCCTCCAATCACAGAGACTCTCTGCCATTCTGTCATCTCACCAGGACCATCCCCACCCCGTCTGTCCACTCATTTGAAAATATTTCTGTCAAACTCCCCGGCACCACCCCTCTGGTCATTGTCACCATCTACTGCCCTCCAAAGCCCCACCCATCATTCCTTTCTGATTTCTCTGAACTGGTCACCCAACTAAGTACCATCTCATCCTCTGTCCTGCTGCTTGGGGACTTCAATTTCCACATCGACAACCCCACCTACAGACAAGCCTCTGATTTTCTGGATCTACTCAACACCCTCAACCTCACCCAGCATGTACACTCCCCCACCCACTCCCACGGCCACACCCTCAACCTCATCTGCTCCACCGGCATCTCCATCCACCATCTCTCCACCAACCTCAACCTCACCAACCATCAACCTCTACATATCTGACCACCTGGCCGTCACTTTTGTAGTGATTTGAAATGAGCCTCATACGGTCGCACCAAAATATATGTAGCGATTTGAAATGAGCCTCACAAGGCCGCACCAAAATAATACTTGGCGATTGGAATTTATAATAAATGTCTGAAGATTAATAATCTCAAATTATGACATTTATGCACTCGTTGAAAGGGGCACCACCCACCCTTAATGGTGGGAAAATAAAGAAAACAAAAGTTTAATTCAGAAATCAAACATCAAGTCAGTTTTAATTAATCAGTCTTAATTAATCAGTCTCATATCTTAAGTCGAAATTCTAATTTCAGGGACTCCACTTCTGGAAGAACACTAACAGACAGGAACTTAGAAAAATAATGATCTGTTTATTACAGGATAAATGATGGTACAACACACATGCAATAAATGATGATAAGATAATGAGGATAAAATAATAATAGGTGAATAAATAAAGATTCTGAGTCAGGCTAGGAGCACTAAAGTTAATGATAGTGAGTGAATATGCGCTAACATATTAACCTACACTAACTTTGGTGTCGAGATAAACTCGGATGTGGATTTGGAGGAATCTAAGATCACCAGAAATAGGTGGATACCTGAGTTATGAACGCATGAGACAGCACCAGCCCTCTTTGGAGCTCTGGAGGTTTGCATACTTAAGTGAGACTGGTCCTTGGAGAAGATGGAGCAGGTTCCGAAGGTCCGGGGCTACCAGCGGGTTCGAGCGGTTCAGCTCAGAAGACGACTGAGGTCAGCCGAAGGATGGGCCAGGAGTTGTAGCACTCGGGCTTAGAGTAAAGCTGGCGCCTGTGGATCCTGTGGATGCTCGTTTGGGTACTTCTTTGGTCTCACTCAAGAACTCTGGCACAGAGGATGACCTGGGCCTGCTGGGTTGCGTTCAGAGGTGACTTTGAAAATCACGCAGATAACTCAGAAAAACAAGACTCGAGCAGAGAAAACTTTCAAAAATGGCTTCGCGAAATTAAAGAAAAATCAATCAAAGGCTTAATCTTGAATTGCTATGTGCACAAAAAGTTGAAGTTTCAAAACTTGAACTAAGACGATGTTAAAGAAAAATCAACGTGAATCAACACGTGGCGTAAAACTTAGAAGACTAAGAAAAAGTTCTAAGAGAAAATAAAGAAGCGCACCACAGAAGGGTGTGGGCAGAAGAGAAGGGGCATAAGAGCCGGGGACAAGAGCGTCAGCAGAAGAGAGGAAGCATAAGAGAGCGTGAGCAACCCGACTTCACTGGTTTTATCTTCTCACACTGGGAGTGGCTCCGGCGTGTGTGTGAGGAGACAGAGGAGGGGTCGTGTGGTCTTTGATTATTTGATCTAACTTATTCTTTTGGCTGGCAAAAGAGTCAGATCTGATACTCACTCACTATGATTAATATCATTGAATGTTTGGTTTCATGATAAATAATTTGACACTAAACACATATGAATGAAGTGTAGGATCACATCAAACATTCTCATTATGTTTTAAGTATCACATTGAACATGCTAAATTACTCTGAAATGAAACAGATAGTAACACATGGAAACTGTGAACAACAAAAGAGTAAACACATGTGAATGAACTTCATCATGATTAATAATGGATTCTAAATACTCACATTAAGGTTATTCAATGACATTATAACCACCTAAGGGTTAAAAATACTAAATAAAGGATTAAAATATAGACCAAACATTTCTAAACTATTTCTGTGTTCATAGAGTAAAGTTATGATCCATAGTCAATAAATGTAACTCTTAAAAGTTCATGAAACAGTCTGAAAAGCTGTTGGTCTAAAGAACTAAAGAATAAGGATTTATTCTGTCAGATAAGATAACTTGGCTTCTGAAGCACATAGAAAAACGGGAAACATCTCATTTTAACACAAATTTCATGATTAGACAGATTAGTACATTGCTGAATGCATAAGATGTCATGATCAGTCATTTGTATTCTTTCACCAAAGGAATGCAGTCTTTATCAGTGTATGGTCGAGCAGGGTTTTACGACCGAGGTCTGGAGGTCAGTGTCCCCCCTTATCCTGGGGTCCGTATGTTCACACACTTTAAGACGCTAAATCTCAAATGGGAGATCTGGGTTGAGACGTTAATGTTTATTTAGATGGTCAGTAATGGAGTCAGTTTGAAAGGTAATAAAAACTCTGTCTCTGTTCGCCGAACTGACCAATCCTGAAGAGTCAGAGGTTTAGTCAACCTCCGGTTGGGTCACTTATTTAACCTGAAAGTGCAAACACGTCTGGAAAGATTTATATCCTGTTTCCTGGGACCAGATAAGGAAACTTTCCTGTAAGGAATGTGTGGGTTTCACATCCAGGGTTGTCTTGATTGCTACACTTTCATTGTTGACCCCATAGACAGCATCTCCACCACCTTCACCCCGGAAAAGTGTAACTCATTCCTCTCCTCTTTTCAAACCAAAATCAACACAATCTACAACTCCCTTCCCCCACCTTCCATTCCCAGCTCCTCCCCTCATCCCATCAGCACTCTCCCGTTTCTCACCTGTTTCTCCAACCGACGTGACCAACATCATCTGCTCCATGTCATCATCCACCTGCATCCTGGATCCCATCCCATCCTCCCTCATCAAGCACTGCCTCCCCGTCATCTCTCCCATCATTACACAGATCATCAACTCCTCCCTCAACTCTGCCACTGTTCCCCCTTCACTCAAGCTGGCCGCTGTCACCCCCATCCTCAAAAAACCTGGACTCAACCCTGACGATATCAATAACTTCCGGCCCATCTCCAACCTCCCTTTCCTGTCGAAAATCCTTGAACAAGTCATTGCATCAGTGATCAAAGCCCACCTCAACAATAACAATCTTTATGAACTGTTTCAATCAGGATTCCGCACCCACCACAGCACCGAAACTGCCCTCATCAAAGTCATAAACGACGTCCTCATTTCTGCTGCCAACTCTCCATCCTCATCCTCCTTGACCTCTCCGCCGCTTTTGACACCATTGACCACGCCATCCTCCTGTCCCGCCTACACTCCCTCCTCAATATCACAGACACTGCTCTCAACTGGATCCATTCATATCTCACAGACCGGAATCACTTCATCCACATCAACAACTGCTCCTCCACCACTGCCCCCATGTCCCAAGGTGTCCCCCAGGGTTCGGTGCTTGGTCCCCTCCTCTTTATCATCTACCTCCTCCCTCTCGGCCACATCCTCCATCAACACAATCTCCATTTCCACTGCTATGCTGATGACATTCAATTGTACATCTCTTCCACCTCCATCACCCCCCAGACCCAACGCTCCCTCTCAAACTGCCTCACTGAATGGACAGCAACCTTCTAAAGCTCAACTACGACAAAACAGATCTCATCATTATTGGCCCAAAATCCCTCACCTCCACAGTCACAGACTTTCATCTCTCCATTAACAACTCCACCCTCTCCCCCTCCCCCCACTGTCGCAACCTTGGTATTCTCTTTGACAGTGTGGCAAGGGGTGCTATTTTGTTCACAATTAGATGATATTGTCTCCAACCAGCAACGCCACCTGGGGACTTGCACCCCAGGAAACTGTACTGTCAGACTAAAATCATAACAGGAAGCTAAAATAAGAATAAGGCAACACAGGTAAATTCTGAAAGAGGCAGAGACAGAGTTCAAAATATTTCAAAATGTTTATTAGATCAAAAATGAAGTTAAACTTAAATATAACTGAGAAATTTAACCTAGGAGGGAAAGAAAGGGATAAAGTTAAAACAACATAACAAAACACAGAGAAGGGTCAAGAAAGTTGATTTTATTTCTATAATAGTTTAAAACAAGGCCTTCTACAAAAGTTAAAAACAGTTAAAATGTACAATAAACCCAACTTAAACTAAATCAAAGAAACCCAAACTAAGTTAACTTAAAATAAGCTGAGGCCACCAGAAGGGAGGCAGACTACAGAGGGAAAGTGCAGGGGAGTGCTCCCTTATACTCACCAAGTGAAGCACAGCACACACACTTCAAACCTTCAAAAAAGAAACAAATTGGTGTAGTCTTGTGACCCCGTGTCAAACTCATGCAAAGGTGGAGGGCCCTCATCCGGGGTGCCTAGCCTCCCAAACTAGTGGGCTCAACTTCTGAAATAAAACAAAAGGATTAACCAAAGAAACAAACAAACCAGCAACAGCGAACCCAGTTGGTAAAACTAGAATCACTAAGGAGAAAAGCAACTAAGGGTAACTAAGAACAGAATACAAACTAATGGGGGAGTAACTGGGTAAAACAACCAAACGTAGAGGTAGAAACAAACCAAGTAAGGGGGGA